GATTGGGAGTGTGTGCATTCGCGTGTGTGCGGGGGGGGAGGGAGTGGAGCGGAGCCCCGCCCTTCAGAAACAGAGCGGAGGGAGAATGTGAATACACAAGGCAGTGGACACTGAAACATGCACATTGGATAAATAACATAGGCGTTTAGTTTATTTAATAAAAGAGCACATGTTCAATGTGAAACGTGACCGTAGATAGATTACTTCAGTTGCAATTTGGTGCTATATATATATATATATATTTTTTTTTTTAAATAATAAAAAAAAAAAAGATTTAAATAAAAAACAAACAAACAAAAAAAAAAAACACCTTGAATTTCAGGCAGGGCGCGGGGCTCCGTTGGCAGGGCGCAGCGCCCCGCCAAGACAATGGTAGGGGAAACACTGCTATATTTAAATCTTTCTGTGATATAGTATGTCATTTAATACGACCCACTCCTCCAAATAATAGCTAATTGCGATCTTTTGGTATTTCAATTTTCATATTATGTTGGAGGGATTGTTTTTTTGTCGCCTCTTTATTCTCATAACAAATATATACAATTTATTTTGGTGCGATTTATTTATTTCTTCCAATAAGATCTATATCAAACCAATATGTTTTGTTAATTCTGGAGAATACGGTTTGTAGGCTGGGTTATCTCTGCTGCTCCATAATACTTCATTCAAACTAGTCAAACTACTATAATACTATTTTAACACACATTTAGCCTTTAACAAATATTGTGCTCCCTGCAATTTGAATACAAGTCCACAGTGCGTTTTCGATAAGATTTACAATAATTGTGCACCCAAGTCTAAACTGTGGTTTCATCAGCCTGCTCTCGTGTCCGTTGCAGTAAAACGTTGTGCTTTTATTCAGTCTTTTTTTACTTTTTCAATCGACCTGACTCTGTTGAATGTATTTCAGGTTCTGTCGTGGATCCACAGGGAGAACCAGGCGGTGATCGTCCGCTGCAGTCAGCCTCTGGTCGGGATGTCGGGGAAGAGAAACAAAGACGACGAGCGCTACCTGGACGTGATCAGAGAGGCCAACGACACCCCCAAACTCACCATCTTCGACGCGCGGCCCAGCGTTAACGCTGTGGCTAACAAGGTGAGGGGGGGGTGGGGGGAACTCTCAGGGGTCAAAGGGGTGGTCTGACAGAAAACACTTACCCCCATCAGGCTGTCAGAAACAGCGGCACTGAGGGGGATGGAAAGCAGCAGATGGAGAGGTCACTACTAAGAAAGCTTACTGTTATTATGGCATGGCGGTTTTCCTTTGAATAGAGTGAGAATAAGTGGAAAAAAATAAATAAATGATTATTTGCATTACAAATGAATCTATTAAAATATATTTTCAATTAATCAAATAGTATAAAAAATGAAATAGCATCCACTGTTTCAAGATGACAAATGATGTCACGTTTTGTGCGACCAGCAGTCAAAAATCCCAATGTATTCAGTATAAAACAAAATCAGAATTAAATTGTCATTCAACATTTTTTATATATTTTACCGTTATATATTTTTAATGTTGTAAGTCTGTGTTCTCATCCCAATTTTCTATGCACATAAAGAAAATGATTTATTTTGTATTTCACTAGTGGCTGGGGTAGGAAGTATTTTTCATCAAATGTATTGATTGAAAAAAATGCCAGTTCTTAATGTGCAATGGAAACAGACTTTTTTATGATCAAACATAAAACATGCATCCATAAAACAAACAGAAACGCGATATTTCCATCGTATGGTTCACATTTTCTTTCTCTCCGTTTGAGCTTTGACTCTTTTGACAAAACCTTGTTGCAAAACTGTTCTTCTGAAACAGTTGTTTAGCCGGCATCTGTGAGAATTCTGTTACCGACTATTTATCTCATGCGTTAATATCAGGATGTTTTCATAACAGTAGAAGGAACTATAACTAGCTTGACTCGTTTCAAGATATTCTATAATCAAGGAGTGCCACAATATCTGTTTTGTTAGTCATGGAGATAATGAAAGAATCAAACTACCTAGGTCACAAACAAAACATATTCAGTCTTTTGAAATCTGACCTGAGGATTAAGGCCTGGGAGTGGAATCTTCAGTATCAACATTTATAAAGATTACATTTCTGATTCATGTTTAACGTGTGTCAGGCTGCTCTGTTACCATGGGGTGTCGTACATGGTCATCTCCTGTAGTCTGTATCTGTTTGCAATAGTATATAAACGTCAAAATAATGAAAATATGATGTACTCCTAGAACAAAATCATTTTGTGCCGAACATATTGAACATTTTTTGTCAATTTCAGAGATTTATTCATCGTATTATTTTGGCATCAGTTAGTATTTTGGATCATGAGCTGCATTGCTTGAAACACAAACATTTTCGTCACAGTTAAACATACTCTCTTTTATGGGTATTTAGTATTTTCCCTAGAGAATCATAATCAAATCAGTACTTTATTTATTTCGAGGGAAATTGGGTTTTGTGATCGTTGCTCCATTTAAAAAAATTAATAAAAAAAACAAAATAAAAGGTTAAAAGTGAGAATATGCAATAAATAAAATAAAATATTTATATACACAGAATAAGTTAAAGTAAGAATGTGCTATTGAAAGATTAAATAAATAACTTTAAATAGATTAAAGATATTTACATAAACATAAGAAATTAAAGATGACTGCAATCAAAAGTAAAAAAAATTATCAAAAAATATATTTATATTATAAAAGAAGATTAAAGTAGGAATGTGTAATAACACATATTATATAAACAAATGGAATAAATAGATATATATAGTGAAAATGTACAATAAATTAGACATGATATAAATAAATGAGAGGATGATAGCTAATCATATTTAGATTCCCCTGAGCAACTGTCCACCATCATATAGGGGGAAACATCCATTGGACCAACACTTTTATTCGAAAAAAACCAATTTTAATACATTTGTGTAATGAATCCTAATGTTTTTCGGGGGCCCCATGTTGAACATTTCCTGAAACAGAAGGTTTCATTTATTGTTGTATCTTGATGTCCCTCCCCAGGCCACAGGAGGAGGCTACGAGGGCGACGAGTACCAAAACGCAGAGCTGGTCTTCCTGGACATCCAGAACATCCACGTCATGAGGGAGTCCCTGAAGAAGCTCAAAGACATTGTGTACCCCAACGTGGAGGACTCTCATTGGCTGTCCAGTCTAGAGTCCACACATTGGCTAGAACACGTTAAGGTCAGAAAAAGAGTCATCAGCCGCTTTCACACGAAGTACTTTGCCGTACTTAGCCCAGGCCCACCCAGTTTACTCATTGGCCCACCCTGAGAAAGCTTTGGTGTCATTTAAAAAAAAATTAATAATTATTTTATTACTATTATAAAAAAATGTATTCACCCATTGAGAATATCCAAGAATTCAAAGTGAAATTCAAGTGAACGAATATCGAGTTTAATTTATGTTTAGGCCTATGTGTTTTATCCTCTGAACCGAACTCATTGACGGTAAAAACTGATTGTGGGTTCCGGCGCGCGCCATAATAACGTGAGAGAGGCAGAGAGCTGCCTGCAAAATAAATGATGGCTCAAAGTTCACTAATGAACTCTCTTCTTGGAGTCTGGCTTTTTTTTTTTTTAAACCAAAGTTCATTAGTGAACTTTGAGCCATCATTTATTTTGCAGGCAGCTCTCTGCCTCTCTCACGTTATTATGGCGCGCGCCGGAACCCACAATCAGTTTTTACNCAAAATGTATTCACTTCAGGTTTACGAAAGTAACTGTAATCAGATTACTCGTTTTTCAAATGTAACGCCAGCTAAATACAGTAAACTTGATTTTTGTATTCTGATTACGTAACCCTGTTACATGTATTCCGTTACAACCCAACCCTGTGTATATCTCTCCGGACTGTCCACCAGCAGATGAAAAACACCCACCTCTCCGCCTCTTCCAATGGACGAGGGAACCGTGCGGCAGAGTTTCCGTTAACATTTATTTTCTTCTGACAGCCCAGCAGCAGGAGAGGTGGGGAGAGGGAGGCGGGGCTATTTTATCGTTATCAGAAAATTATTGTATAG